GGAGCACAAATTTGACGAATTCTGGGGATCGGTACTAGAACGGTAGCGCAACAGAATCACATCGCTAAGAACGCTAGAACATTGTCAGGAGGTCAGCGAAAAATTTAGCAATGGCAGGCGAGAGCAGGCGCTACATGTAAATATGGGCTTTATATCGAACTTAGAATGGTATTCAAAACAAACGACATACTTGACCTTAGAAATTCGGATTTCAGTCCAGATTACTCTTTTTTATGGTCCTAGGACTGACCAGGAGAATGTTGTGCAAACTCTGACCAGCAAAGCTGCACTAAAAATCACAGTCATAGCTTACAGTATGGTATCAATACATATGATAAATGAAAGTTCAAAGGTCAATGACAGTTATGATGATAATCTTTAAATGAATATCAGAATAAATTAATGGTTAAGTAAGGATAATCATACACATTAAATTTATACAAGAATAACCAAACTGGTTTTAATTTTAATCCATCACCATCAATATAATCTCTGACAGAAACAAAATTTTACAAATTATTAAAATAATTACATAATGGCAGAATGCTCCTATGGATAAACAGCCGGCCTTCCATTTAGACGACCAGGATCAGATTGTATTCTTATTGATCTCCTGTCCACCACAGAGCTCAATGGGACTTGTAACTAAAAGAATCTCTTAAAATAGGGACTACAATCCACAAGTATTGTGTCTTAACGGCTCATTATACGTACCTATAACAATTAATACCATGATTTCATTGAGGAGGATCTCTCAGAGGAACCTTTAAAGGAAAATAACATAAGTTACAGTAATAATGATGGGGTAAAATTTTATAAGAAACAAAGTCCTAGTTCTAAGATCATAAAAAAGTAAAACAGTCTTTAATAAAAACTTTAACGTTATTTAAAGGGCCTAACACACCTAGCCGCTTTGGGTCGCCGGAGCTATACCGGAGCACAAATTTGACGAATTCTGGGGATCGGTACTAGTACGGTAGCGCAACAGAATCACATCGCTAAGAACGCTAGAACATTGTCAGGAGGTCAGCGAAAATTTTAGCAATGGCAGGCGAGAGCAGGCGCTACATGTAAATATGGGCTTTATATCGAACTTAGAATGGTATTCAAAACAAACGACATACTTGACCTTAGAAATTCGGATTTCAGTCCAGATTACTCTTTTTTATGGTCCTAGGACTGACCAGGAGAATGTTGTGCAAACTCTGACCAGCAAAGCTGCACTAAAAATCACAGTCATAGCTTACAGTATGGTATCAATACATATGATAAATGAAAGTTCAAAGGTCAATGACAGTTATGATGATAATCTTTAAATGAATATCAGAATAAATTAATGGTTAAGTAAGGATAATCATACACATTAAATTTATACAAGAATAACCAAACTGGTTTTAATTTTAATCCATCACCATCAATATAATCTCTGACAGAAACAAAATTTTACAAATTATTAAAATAATTACATAATGGCAGAATGCTCCTATGGATAAACAGCCGGCCTTCCATTTAGACGACCAGGATCAGATTGTATTCTTATTGATCTCCTGTCCACCACAGAGCTCAATGGGACTTGTAACTAAAAGAATCTCTTAAAATAGGGACTACAATCCACAAGTATTGTGTCTTAACGGCTCATTATACGTACCTATAACAATTAATACCATGATTTCATTGAG